TATATATATATATATATATATTATAAACTGTTTGTCACAACTATAACCAACAAAATTAGATAATATCAAATAAAAATTAGATGGTTCAATTAGTAACGAAAGGTTCATTTGGGAACGGGTATTCACACCAATTTCTAATCTTTTGGAAGATATATTTGAGTCAAATATATGGTAAATTTTTGAATTATTAAAAAAAATAGGTATGAGCAATTAGGATTTGGTTTAGATATATAGATTATCCCATAGTTTGAGATTATCCAAATTCAAACGTTTTGGATTCAATTCCATTCATGGAATTTAGGTGTTCTGAAACGTAGATACAAAAAAATTATAGGATATTCAAATATATACTTATATATATCATGGATCAAAATTTTTATTTTCGGCTAAAATGTTCGGATTTTATAGATGAAAACCTATTTCTTTAATTAAAATCTAAAAAACTTGTTTATAATATTAAAAAATAAACGACATTTATATCAGTTTTGTATCTATTAGGATATTATTAAACCATATTAGTCAGTAAGGAAAATTAGTCGTAATAGATATCTATGGATATAACATAATGCTATATCCAAATCGTTTGTCCTTCAAAATCTTTTTTTTATGACGAAATAACCCAATGTTAAAGATGGATAAAAAAGATCAAGATTCAAATCTTGTTATGTTGTTATTAATAATGTTTGCTAATGAATATTAAAATTTATATGAAATTAATATATAAACTTTGATTTTAACTATGTGTTCATTAACATTCAAAGAAGAATTAACAAATCTTCAAATTTCTACAAAAGTGTCGTCGTCTCCCTCATTGTCTTCGAGAGATGTGCGATAGACGTAATGGGATGTGTATTGCACGACAAAAAAAAATATATTACTTGTTACTTATTGTTGACGTTACAATTAAATATAGTACACCTGATGATCCGTAAATATCATATTATTTTCATTTGTCGAATTAGAATTTAAAACCCGTTAATATATATAGAAACCCATTATAATTTTAGATATTTATCATCATATTTAAAATTTTAATTGGGTTAATTTGAAATAAATTGTTTTGTAGACGATTTTTTTTCTGAATTTCCCGAAATTTACAAAAACAAAAATCAAAGACAAAAAACATATAGTGACTAATTATCAATACTAAATATATATTTATATTGCAATAGAAAATTGATCTTTAAAAATAATAGTAATAATTTAATTCAAAATTATTTTATTGTGTACAGAATGACTAGATCTCTATTATTCTCATTCTTTGGGTTTATTCACAATTATGGCAACCAAACTCATTCGGTGTTTCCCTAATTAGGCTGAAATATTTGGTGTTCTCGAATCGATCCTGCGATGGTTTCTCACCAATTTCGATGTCCTCTTTAAGGTACGTTTTCAATTTTTTTTCTAATTCTTTTTATTATATTTTGAAATATAATTTAAAATTTATAATATAAATTAAATTCTTGTTCGTGTATAGACATTTAAGATTTGTTTCTTCAATTTAAAAAAAAATGCATACCTGTGTTTTTTATTCATGGTTTTTGAAGATTTTTTAGGGTTTAGCAAATTGTATAAATTTCTCATTTTTTATATAAATTTTATTTAAAAGTATAAGTGATGCGTTTTACTAGGATACCGTTTGAAACATGTTAACAGTATACGTACATTTACATACACACAAGATGTCCAAAAACAAACATTGTAAAGGCAAACTATGCATGTACACTTATTAGTTCCAGTGAAACACACATCAAGTTTGGTTTCGGAGGGAAACAATCCAACGGCCCTGATTGTCCAATCATTTTTATGCAGGACCCATCTCAAAAACCCTAACCTCCATGCTTATCACTCTAGGCCAGACATTCTAAACAGGATATAAGAACGTGCCAATAGAAATCATTTCTCAATTCGTTGAAGTATCATTAAAGAATTTTTATAATTATACACCAAAGAGAGAGCACACTCGTTTTATAATTATATATTGAACATGTTATGATCCCTATAAATAATACCGAAACTTAAACATACAATTGATACATAATTGTCCAACCCATTAAATCGTTTGAATCTTATGAGTTATATATATATACACATATTTATGTGTGTGGTATAATCCATTCAAGTAAATCTCATAACTTCAAAATTCATTATGTGTGTTTAACCCATTAAATTATTTAATCCCATGATACAAAACAAAGAGATGCTAATCTCAACATCGAAGTATACAAATTAAATCAGACGTTTTCCGTAGAATTTATAAATAATTAAGTAGAAAACGAAATTAAGACTATTTAAACAACAGAGGTACATTTAATTTAGAAAGCATGCTCAGAAATTTACAAAAGCATTTATTATATGCTTATAATATATATAATTAGGAAAGCTAGTTGAGATTAATTAATGAAATTGTAATTATACCCAAAGAGCTCCGACCTGGACGAGGCGAGGGACAAGGTGACCGCTGAGGTGGAGAGCGACGAGGGACTCGAGTCCACCTACGCACGCGCCGCCAATAAAGATCGCCGGTGGCGCGTGAGAAACAGTTGCGGCGGCGTCGGAGATCTCGGTTTCGTCGAGCTCGATAACCGTTGGGTGGACTCCGACGGTGGAGAGGAGCTTCTTCATGACGTGGCACATGCAGCACGAGGAGGATCGAGTGAAGATGATCACCGGATGCTCCGATATCAGCCGTCGGATCTTCACCTCCGCCGTCTCCGCCGCATCGATCGACAGGCTAGCCGCCCGGG